TAGTTCCAACCCCCCTGCCATGGGCAGGGACACCTTCCACTAGACCAGGTTGCTCAAAGCCACATCCAGCCTGGCCTTGAAGACATCCAGGGATGGGGCATCCACAGCATCTCTGGGCAACCTGTTCCAGTGCCTCACCACCCGCTCTGTGAAGAATTTCTTCCTGATATCTAATCTAAACCTCCCTGATTTCAGTTTATACCCGTTACCTCTTGTCCTATCACTACAGACCCTTGTAAAAAGTCCTCTCCCAGTACCCTTGTAGGCCCCCTTCAGATACTGGAAAGCTGCAATGAGGTCTCCTCGGAGCCTCCTCTTCTCCAGGCTGAACAAGCCCAGTTCTCGCAGCCTTTTGTCATAGGAGAGGTGCTCCAGCCCTCTGATCATCTTCGTGGCCCTCCTCTGGACTCACTCCAAGTGGTCAATATCCTTCCGATATTGAGGGCTCCACAGCTGGATGCAGTCCTCCAGGTGGGGTCTCACCAGAGCAGAAGCCTTTGAGCTACTCATAGCACTGCTGTGCTCCAGCTTCCTCATGGCAGACACATTTATCTTCACCCTCACACAAGAAAGCATCCCAGACCAATTTCCCCAGGCCCAGACATTCTGCCTTAGCCTCCCCACGACATTGACATCTCTTCTTCAGTGCCAAGAAGGGCCTTCCCATCACCTACACCTCGTGACACGAGCACCACAGAAATCCCAGGAGACCATGACAGTTTGATCTTTTGTGGATTTGTGCTCTTTACCGTTAGCTCTCCCTGATCCTGCTGCCATCCCATCTCAGCGTTGTTGGAGACCAGTTTAGTGCTTTCCCCACCTTACACAATAATGAGTGTGTCTGCACATACCTGGATCTCTTTTGTTCCAAACCTGGGCCAAACTCTGTATCATGGGGTTGGGCATAAGCCTACAGCTTTACCATAGGGTTGGATTCTCTTCCTAGGCATTGCCCGAGTGTTTCTGTTTCTTAAATCCTGCTTTCCATGTGCCTGTGACTATAAAATGCAAGGTGTGTTATTTACCAGAGGAGAATTGCACTGATCCCAAGCTACGGCAAGGATGCAGAGATCTGTGAGCTGTCAGAGATCTAAGCCAGCAGACCCTGAGTTGCAGAGCTGAGTGCCATGCAGACGCACCACCATGTATGGCTAATAGGGCTCTCTGCTTCCAGCCACCAGCTGAGCTGGCTCAGCCAGCCCCAGGAGTGCTGTAGCTGTGCCCTTGGTGAGGCTTGGAGCTGGAGGCAAGGGAGAGATGCTGCGAGGCTCTCAGTCCTTTAACGTGGAGCTTTTCCATGGTACACCTCTGAATTTCAGTCTCTCTTGGTGGCATCCAGCAGACAAAATGTCCAGTAATTTCTTTTTGTTTCTATTCTTTACAAGGAGGGCTATTCAGGGCCAGGCATGCTCCTCATTGGTTCTGGTACAGTGTTTATTACAACAGAGTTTGCTAACAGCCTTGGTTTCTCTTGCTGCTGTTGTGATGCAACACGGTATAACAACACATAATCTGCGTCACCAAACCTTTCCCAGACTGTCCATGCTGAAGACTACTCCTGTCTTCCCTAAAACCTTACCTGTTGCTTTCTGGCATGACCCTAAATATATGATGTTCAGATTAAACCAAGCCTCCTAAATGCAGCTTTTCTTATTCTGGAATTCTTACTTATTTCAGTTAATGAATAAAATGTATCTTTATGCTAAAAAAAAAAAAAAAAAAGGAAAAAAAAGAGGAGCATACTTGTGCTTAATTGTTATTATAATTACAAGTTCTGGTGTAGTGTAAATTTTTTCCCTTGGCATTATTATGAACCTCATTTCCTTACAAAGTCCGGGATAAACAATTCTAATATATTTTGTTTTAATTATCAGGGTTTAATGGGGCATAATGAGACTATGTTGAGTGGCGCAGAAAAAAGTAATTTAATGTGTGCAAAACTACTGAGTGCTCCTAACTTGACTGTGCATATTTCACCTATTGTTGGGTAGCACTGTGTTAGCTAATATTCAGTGTGCCCGTCATTTATTTATTAATTATACTTGCTTTTCAGTGGAAAATTCCCTTTTTTTTTTTCCAGTATTTGAAAACAAGAAGAAACCAATTAAGATATCCTAGAGAAAATGGACAATTCTCCGAGCTGAGCAGTGAAGGATGCAGCTGATACACAGCTGATGGTGCTAGAAGCATTTGCCATGTCACAGACAGAAGACTGCAGTGTGTTGGACACACAACCTGCCTCTGAGGCCAGTCGTTTCCAAATGCAGTCCTTCTCCCAGTGTTATTTGGCAGGGCAAACTTCTGGCTTCAGTTCTTAGCGTCACTACTAAAAGAAACACAGACAACACTGGCTGAATTCACCATTCAGTAACGACTCAGAGTGTTTGGACTCTCACACCCAAGGTGTGGTTCCTATAGACTTAAACCGCCACAGATAATTCTGCAGTGAAAAGGGAAAAGTGCAAACCACCAGCCTGGGAAGTAAACCAGTAAAGCGAGATTACAGCCCTTTATACTTTCCAAGGCCCCTTTGCCAATGGCACTGAACCCAATGGCTGGGCGTAGCTGATGCAGCAGTTAGCACCTCCCTGCTACCTGATTTACATTCCACTTCACCAGGGTGACCATATACCAAGATCAAAACACTCCTTTCCGCTCCCCCCTGCTCCCCGAAGTTTTATGAAGGCAGCGGAAGATTTTGGCCATTTGTCTGGGAATTCTGAACATGAGGCGCTGTGCCCAGAACGGTGATGGTGGGCTGTTCTGCAGAAAGGATGGACACCTGTTCTGCCACGCTGGACAGATACAGCGGGTTTGAAACCTTCAGTCAGTCAAGCTGGGCTCTCTGCGCTGTTCAGCTCACACACCACAACTTCCTGTGGTCTGCTGGATGGAAATACAGGAGCCTTATCCCTGCCTGTTTCACTGCCCTGCAGGAATTGAGCCTTTTGTCCTTAACAGAAATGAACTTCCTGAACGCTCTGCTGCCTGTTCCAGCCTGGACTGAGCACCAAGCCCTTTGCCTTAACCACTGCTCCCAGCAGCAAGAACTGCTCTTGGAGCTGTTCTGGCATCAGAGTGTCACAGCTCCACCGGTACTTGCAACAGCCTCTGCAGCGTTCCAGGGAAACAACTAGGCAGGAGAAACTCCTTCTCTCCACACTGACCCACACATGCCAGATTTTCTTTCTAAATCCTTCTCTTGCTCTGTCTCCTCTACTCCACCCATTCCAGGCTGTAGTTCTGATAAGCACATACCTGACCTACACATACGGGGCACAGCCTTCTCATCCATATCTCATCTGTGAGCTAACAGCACATCTTTTGCCCTGGCTTTCCAACTTGATGGCATTTTAACAAAGGCATCACAAGATAGTGTTACAAGCACCATGTGACCCATGCAAAGGGCTTAAATCCCTGTGCCCAACTCAAGGGAGAATTACAAGACCCCTCAATGTGAGTTTCACTTCAGGAATTACAGGATCACCCCTGAAGGGAAACACCTCTCTTCGGCTTATCCATTATACTCCTTGACATGTAGTCAGGGAACTCGATACAGTGCCCACTGAAGCCATCGGGAACATCCTCTCTTCTGGAAAAGTATTTGATTCATGACTCTAGGAAGGAAGTTCAAATACAACACAAAACCCCAGACCAACGTTATATTACATGTATTTGAAAATTAACATTTTATATTACAGATTAAGTTAATATATTCCAAGTGTTTGTGTTTTAAATAAAATACATTTATTACAGACATCAATATTTACAGAAAGAAAAACATTTACATAAATAAATTTGTTCTTTTTTTTTTTAAGTCTCATTGGAGTAGAAAAATTCTCCATGAAGTTTCTACCTACGGGAGATGCCACGACCTGTGAAAAGTCTGGCTCCTTCAAGGATTAACGGAGACAAGAAACCAAAGCAGGCTTAGGTTTTAACTCAATGAGTTGACCAAGGGACATCAATGGGCTGGTTTAACTGCATTCAATTGCAGCAAAACTGAAAGAGCCCAGGGGTCCCTTTCCAAGACTGTCCTATTCTTCAAGGAAGAATGAAGGGGAATCAGAGTACCTTCCATCAAACTTACCTCAGATACAGGACCAGGCCAGCATCCAGCATGTTCTCATGGACCCCCAAAGCTTAGTGGTCTTCTTCTATGGGGATTCTGACCCAAGCTTAGGAACCCATTGTACAGCCACTGTATAAATACACAAAGGCTATCGCTGCTGCCACACTGCCTAACGGCCGCAGCACTCCGTGATGGAAGAGAGTAAGTTTACAAAGAGGGGGACTGGCTGACCCTTCGTGACAGAATTGCGGTCCTGAGTCAGAAGCCAAGTCTGCTGATTCCCAGACAAATACTGACCTATGCATGTTCCCTCAGTTGGCTAGCAAGACTCAGTGGGTCTCTGCATTTTGTAGAGCTGCATAAAGATCAGGGGGAAGAAGTACATTTCTGGGTAATGCATGAACTGCAGATGGTAGAGACCTCTGATATTAGGTCTGGGCAAACACCTATCCTGAAAGCTCTAAGCAGGAGCGTACATCCCCACTGGATCATGCAGTCAAAACTGTGTAAGGTTGTCTTACTAAGAGACCTGCACCCCATCCTGGATCGAGGGAGGATACCATGCCTGTTAAATCATAGGAAACTGCGAGCCTTAATATACAGAACAAGACCTTAATTTGAATGCTTAACTTCATGTTCCAACTCCTTCACATAGCAAATTCCTAGTTTTAATGGTTTCCTCTGGTGTACAGGCACTCAAAGAGCACTCTAGGCAGGTCACCGTACCGCCCAGAAGCCCACGGCTCTTCAAAGCCAGCCTTAAACACCTTTTCAACACAATCATGGTGAGAGGAGAAGGATCTGAAGCACAAGAGAGTTTCCAGTTCCACTGCCTTGCAGTCTGAAATGTCATTTCCCTTGGTATCTGCAGTGGCAAACAGGGAACTGAATCCAAGTGCACGCCAAATGCAGACAAAAAAGGGTCCTCTTAATGACATCCACACCTTGTTGCCACCATGTCTTTATAATTTTTAAGGACCACATTCTCTTTGTCATCAAAATAGAGAAGATTGAGGGACTTCAATTCATCTGGCACACAGCAAGGTGTGCTGACATCTTGAGACAGTTTAAGCGTATGGACTATGGACTGAACTGTAGCATGGTTCGTTGCATTTAGATTTTCCCCCAAGGGGAAAAGACAGGATCCTCTGCAATAAAATGCATTGTACCCACTGGGGTAAATAATCCATCCTGACCAGCCAATAGCACGGAAGTCAACGTAGAGTTCCCTTCGATGACATGCTGCTGTGTGGCTTTTGGCAGAAGGGATTGCAGCAGCTCGAGGTCTCCTGCTCATGTTTACGTTGCTGCTTTTGATGACCTCAGTTTCATGAGGCACACGTGAAGCGTCATTTTTGGCAGGGTTTGTCTCTGGTTCTGAAAGGAAGTTGCATGTTAATCTTTCTCAAAATAAACTCATTTCCTAAGCACACTATTCTGTATGGAAATCTGTTCCATAATTCCCCTCTAAGTCTTCAGAGAACATTTTAAAATGACATTTAACTGTGAAAGTACCAGAAGGGATTTGTATTCAATTGCTGTTTTAGCCATATTTCAAAAACTGCCCAATCTTGTGTTTCACTTTGTGGCCAGAAAGGCCCCAACTCAACAGAAATATAAAGGAAAAGCTCAATGATCTACTGAACACGTTCTGTGAATTCCACAGGCCCTTTCCAAGGCTGAATCTGCTCAGAATGGTATTAATTAACTTTATATGGCCACTCCTACAACACACATCACACTGAGCAGTACTAACAGAGGATGGAGACCACAGCCTTTTGCTCTCCAGTATTCTCCTCCCAGACACTCTACCCATACACCTGGAAACGGAGTGTGTTCCTGTAGAGTAATATTTTCTTAAAATATTTTTCAATTTTTGGATTTGAAAAAATTAGCACCAGGTGTATGATACTCTGCTAGAGAATGAAGCTTGCTGACAATAGGTTTGCCTTCTCAAAGCATCTTCTGAGAAGCCTCAATAAATGTCCGTGGACACCTCAAGATCCACGTATAGAGGATGACAAGCACTGATACGCAGGCTGGCAGAACAATCTGTGTGATTCACTGATCACAAACAACAGGAAGGTCTAGGGAGTTTTTTTCCATTGGAGAAATGGTTATCCATTTCTCAATCCTGGCACAATATCCCATACAGAGCTTGATGCTCATTAAATTGGGATCTAGGATTTCACTGCAAAAATTTTCTTTGGAAAGCGAAAATAAACCATCCGGTTTTGTTTTTAATAAATTTCACCACCCAGTTCTTAATATTGATGCAAGTCCTACCTAGTTTCTTTCTAATGTGTAAATGCAATCGTTTACCAGAAAGCCCTGCAAACCCAAACAGTAATTTTTGCCCCTCCTCCCAGCTTCAGCTCTTTGCAGTTATCAGGCTCTAAAATGCAGGCTTAGTTGGTTTTACTGGAAGACCAGGGGAGAGGTATGACACTGTTCTGTAATTTAAGGGATGAGGGCGTTGTCTTTGATGAAAGCAGCCTTTAGTCGCAATGCTAATTAGTTACTGAAGTTAAACAGGTCCTTAAAAACCAAGCCAAGGACAGAGAGGTTTAAATTGCTTATTTAACAACCTCTTCCACTTCTGAACACTGCACTTAATAACTCTACTTACAGTTGCTTTACCAGCATTTTCACAAAGTTTTCCAGGTCACTATGTTTTTTTAGCCTAAACCTAATCTACAATTTTCATGCAAACTTCACCACCGTAGAAATAATATAAATAGTAATGTAAAAAATAGAACTCCCATCCCTTCATAAACAAAATAAACCAGACTCCCCTCTGGGCTTTATGAATATTTCCTGCAAATACAGGTTTTCTGAAGGAGAGGCAATTTAAGATGCTGGGTGATCTACTAGTAGGAACTACCAAATCAAACTCTGATCAGTCACAAAGCTTCAAACCTGTTCAACACTGCTGGTAAATACTGAGATTAGGTATACTTGAGACAGCAGAGGGTAACAGAAGATGAACAGGAGGTCCATATTCTAAAACAGCTGCTGCTGTCGTGTGAACTTACTTGTGGAAGAGGGTACAAAGTTGTAAGACCTCCGTTTGTTACTGTTGGTGAAGAGGACAAGGAGAGCATTTCTACTCTCCTGCAAAGTGCCCTGGCTCTTGGCAAACTTAACCAGGTTGTGCTCAATTCTGTTGTTGGATACATGTGTTGAAGTTATCAAAAAGCCATGGTTGGAGCTGCTGTTTCCAACCCACTTGGAAACCTGGTAATAAAAGGGAAATGAAAAAAATACTGTTTCAATATTATTATTGCAGCATTACGATTAAGCAATGTTTATATTAGGAAAAGGGAACAGGCAACAAGCTATGAGAGCATTAAGAACATATATTATGGCAAAAGTGAGGTAACTATAGCTGGGACTCAATTGAGTTTAATATTTAAACCAGTAATTCAACATTTAAAAATACAAAATACCATATGCATTCCCCAAAGCTGCATTTACAGGAAGATAATTAATTTCAGAGAATTCACTAGTAATGCATTAGTCTAGGAGTTAAAATTAACATTAAAATAAATACTCTCTGGCTTTAGCCAGGAATTTATATTGCGCAGCAATCTTAGTAACAGAACAATACGAACTCTCCGGACTTTCCATACCATTAGAACTCACTTAAATTTAACAAACATGGCATTTGAAGAAGTTAACATGCAATCAAGCCAATTTACTTTGTCTAATGTTATAATTACAGACTAATAGATAAGACCAGGTTATTTTCAAGCGTGGCCATCATTACTTAAGATGCAACTCAACCAACCATCCAAGCATGCTGTCCAGTCTGATCATAAAGCTTAGGCAACAAAAAACACTGTCCAAGAGCACAGATTGAAACCCAAAAGACTGCATACTTTTAAGGTGGTTTTTTTGAGCGGTGGAGGGCGTGAGTGGTGCGTGGTTTTTTACCCTCCACTATGAAAGGCATTCTTCAACAATCTTAGAGTTTAAGGATATCTACAAAACAAATCTTGAAATTAACAAATAGGTCTACAGAGTAAGTTAAATGAAAAACAAACCAACCCTAATAAATTCCAGAAACACAACATTAAAGCACACTGCACACCTGCTCTTTAGTAATGTCACCAGAACAAAAAAGAGAAGTGAAAACACGCTTAGCACACAATCAATGCTGCCTTCTTTGGCAGCCTAAGACTTAACATGTTTTAATCGCAGGGACGTACTTTGCCTGATGTCCCTCCTATCGACTCACCAATTCTCATGATGCCTGTGCTGCTCGCAGCATATAAACACCTCTCTTCAATTCAGGTAGCACCAGGTGTACTTTTAAGCGTAGAAAAAGCTTCTCCCTCTGCTGCTACCCTTACATTTGAAGTGACCACAAAATGCAGCATAAAGGCAATGCTGGAATTAAGAGCTGACTGTCATTTTTACGAGATTTAGAATTAAAATTAAGTCAGAGTTCTCTGCTTACCGTCTGCGTGACATTGAATACTTCCCAGCCTTCGGTGTACAGGGACAATAATCTTGATGCAATGAGATTTTTTTGTGGCTTACTTCCACTCTGCAACAGCTCATACACTTCCACCTGTAGAAGACCAGTACCACAAACAGTAAGAAATAGAACCAATTGTTCTTCCAGCAAAAAAAAGGAGGATGAAGATTAAGCACATTTCTGCACCATAGATTTAAAACTCGGCTATGATTCCAGACCAAGCAAAAAGTACGTTTTGGACAGTTCAACAGAAAAACAACTATCACTACCTACATCTACTTATAGATGTGTTCCAAAGCAAGATACTGGACTGTTTGATACTACAGAAAAATATCCTGACTCTCTCTCTTCTATTTTAAATATTTGATACCATGAAAGTCTTCTGCTCCTCCACATCTGTCTTCAGGTTTGCAAAAAAGTCCAATCCTGTCTTTCGACAAAGGAACAGATACACTCAACATCAGAGTCCTCACCTGCCCTATTTTCCTATGAATGTCTGATTGCTATTATTATTTTTTACAGCGATTCAATCAGATAAATTTTGATACGAATTTCAAAACATCTCAAATCCCAGAAAAGTACGGTATGGTTTGAGATAGGTCTGACATAGGTATCTTGAGGGAGAACTCACTGCCATAGTATGCAAAAGGACCACATACTGCCCAAGCCAAAACCTTGTGCCTACTACTTTGCATGTTGGAGACAAAAAAAAAAAAACCACCAAGTGAGGATGACAGTAAAATAAAAATAAAGCAGACAGGTTTATGTGCTAAGTGGCTGCACTCATCATTTTCAGTATTAACAACGAAAGCACAAGTAACAGCTTAATAACAAAGATTATTTCCCTGCTTACTTTGCAGAAGTGTTTCACATCAGACCTTCTAGACACATGTGTCCTCTTCAGTTTGAAGACCCTGAACTCGGCTTTCAGCATCTGCTCGCCCTTCTCCATGGCGCTGATGTCGAAGTAGAAGTGGTACTGGTCGACGTGAACTGGAAGAGAGCCGCCTTTTAGGCACAAGGCCAGACCCTGCAAGAGAAGGCGCACCCCCGCGTCTCCCCCCGCC